GTTTGAATTCTTTTAATTTTCTTAAAAAAACAGACACTTACTACATTGGATCTTCGACTTAATCAGATCACTGATAAAGGTGCAGAGCATCTTGCTGATGCTTTACATAAAAATACAGTAATCTTTATACTTTCTTTCTGTCACTCATGCACGTCTTGACTATCATCAGACACTTACCATAGTAGACTTGTATCTCAATGAAATTGGAGCTCATGTGTTGGATATGATGAAAACTTTACTCATGAGAAATAAGAAACTAAACACAACAGAATGATCTGAAAAGACTTTTATTTAAATGTTTAAGAAAATCTTTCAGTTTTTAATCGGTATTGAGTACGCCAATGTTAGCGTTTTTTCGATTAAGAATACACCTATGCTGTACGATTTTGCATTCTAATTTGTTTTGAATTTTCAAGTCGATTGTAGATTAAAAAAAATACATGAAAACGCTTCGTAAGATGACGAATTTATCTTATAACTAATAAATTGTCAAACTCCTAAGAATCGGTAGAGTCTGTTGATAAAAGTTAATACAAAATACGACCAGGTGCAGAAAAAGATGTGGATGAAAATTAAGTGATTTACAAAGGACAAGAGACAATTTATCTACATATTGGTCCTAATTAAAAATCACTTTGGAAAAAGTTCACTCTTCACTAATAAAGCATTCTCGATGCAAATCAATGATTTTCTTTAACACTTCATAGTCCATTCTATAACATACCCCATGACAGTCTATTCAAATCAGATTTTTGTCTGTGATGATATGATGGGTTACCTATAATCAATAGACTCTTCAATTTGAAAGTTCCCTTCTTCTTAGGGCACACAGTGCTTTTTAAGGAGCTACAAAATGATAATAAAATATGTATGAAAATGTGCAACCCTGGGAATATTCGAAAGATTATACTTAGTGAAATCAGATTGTAATGGCATAGGATTGATACTGTTTAACCCTTTGCGTTCCAACATTTTTTTGAAAACCCAGATTTCTATAAGAAATCTTTAAATACGATGTATTTTTTATTTTTTGAACGACATTGTATCTCTGTGTCAAGGATCCATTATTAGTCCATTTTTGTATGGTGGTCTTCAAGACAATCAACGATAAATAGAGGTGCATTGTTGCAAAGACACATATCTAGTATCATGTCAAAAACTGTGAGATGATCAAAGAATGAATTTTCTTTGAAGCTGTTTTGATTGCGATTTTTGTGTAGTCGGCGAAGGAACATGTCAAGTAGTGAGAAAAAGGAGAGATCCTTTGTTAAAGGGCTTCCAATAGTAGGTGATGTGTATGATCCGTATTTTGGGGTTTATACTACATGTATTTGGAACAACGAAAGAGAATGTATGATTATTATAGCGACTATAGATTTCTAGGATTATTTCATCACTAATGGATAAAACGCTTTTCTAAATAATCAACGAATAAGCTAGTGGCATGTTTGTTCCATAACACTATCCATACGTATTTATATGCCACTGATGTTCTAAGCCAAATCATCGGACGTATATATACGTCGCCGGGACTCAAAGGAATAAAGAGCCTGAACGTTTGCTAGCCAATCAGAGAATGCGCCGATCACGATACTGACGACATCGCTTGAGTTTGATCCAATTAGTGCACAGAAAACCGACAGCTACTATGGCTATTCAGTTTGACTTAACAGAAATCCTCGTATATAGTGACATGTGACATATGTATCCTTCCTACCATGTATCTACGGCAGTATTTCATAGAACCAATTGCATAACCAGGTTCTACCTTTGGTTGTGATCAGAGCTTTTCGATCCGATTTTCAACAGTTTCAAAGAATGTTTTTTCGCGGAATCTAAATTTATTTTTAAAAGGAATCACAGTTCACTGAGACAAAAATGAAATTCATAATTTATTTTGCCAATAAAACTTTAGTAGCCTTATGCAAAAGAAAGATGTTTGTCTCAGCAATGAAGCAGATTTAGATTCTTCGGCTCGTACATGTGGCTTAGAAGCATTTACACTATAGTAGTGCGTTCAACCCAGCAAATTTCTCTCAGTTTCTACAGACCTTAATAATATTCAGGGATTTGGATACAATCCATCATGACACAACACTTTTAGAGAAATACTGATGATCTACCAGCGACTTTCATCTGGTTCGAATCATACTGGTTCTACGTATTTGAGAGAGCCTCCAAAACTCGATTTTTGTTCAAATCTACTGGAGCCATTCGTTTTCTCTGCTATAAGCGGCATGAAGTTAGAACAACTCGACAATAATTCTCAACGACGACTGCAAATAGCTACTAAACAGAAGGGATTTCTGAGTTTGAACCTATATTGGACATTAGAAATACAAAAATCTGTGCACCTAAACACTGGGCTAGCATACGTATATATTTCTCTATGACTTTTCTCTTGAGATATACATTCATCAAATGTCGCTTCTCAAAGTTCACAAACGAAAGTGATATACTCTTGAGTGTTACGATCTGAAGGAATAGAGTCTGATCCTAATAAATCTCAATACCTCCCATACTCACTCAATGCCTTTGATTTTTCATCTTTCCGCTTTCTCAATTCACTAAGATAAGTCGCACGATCATAAATGTCAACTGTGTATTATAGGCTGACAAGACAATAAATTATAGTTTATCATAGTCTTTATTCAAGCTTGCCAACTGTTTTGAAAGCAACAAAGTTTCAAATATACTTCAGCATCACTTACAAACTCTCGAAAACGTCCCTATATTCTGGAAAAATGGCCCCGGTGTCATGATTGATAGAAGAGATATTATGGACACAGCTGTCATATATTATGCCTGCTATGCAGTGTTGCAGCACCATGTACTTTGAAAAATATCGAAGGCAGCTCATTTTCATACATATTTTGACATCATTTTGTAGCTCCTTAAAAAGCCCTGTGTATTCCTAAAAAGAAGGACACTTTCACATTGAAGAGTCTATTGATTATAGGTATGCCATCATATCATCAAAGACAAAAATCTGATTTGAATAGACTGTCATGGGGTATGTCATAGAATGGACTATGAAGTGTTAAAGAAAATCATTGATTTGCATCGAGAATGCCTCATGAGTGAAGGGTGAACTTTGTTTCAAAGTAATTTTTAATTTGGATCGAGGTGTGAACAGAACGAAAACAGACTCCAGTAATATATTCCACTCTGCGTCCTGATAGATGCAGTCTGAATCTCTAGGTTTTTATACGCCCGGTTATAGCTGGTCGTTGTACACTTGTCTACTCAGTTTTTAGCACCTGCCGATGCACTCCCTCATATCCGCCCATTTCTACATACTCTAGTTCTATCCTACCCGCCCTCTACCCCATTAAATATTGATCAGAACGGGTGAAAGGGGGAAAGCAAGAATTTAATGCTCTACAGTACAAGTAAAGTACAGTGAAAGGTGTGTGCCATTATCAGTGGATATTCACTCTTAAAAATAGTACCCTTACCCTTACCCACACCCACAACACCTATTTCCACATACAAACTCACACTTCATTTGTTTTGTTACATGCCTATGAATGAGATTCAGCACTTAAAGCAGAGAATAGAAAAAAAGCGAATCGCTTACATGCTCTTATTAAATATGCTGGCCAATTCACTGAAATTAAAAAATCTCTTAAGTTTTACTAATCAAAGAAATGGTTTTCTACAGACGCGGGCAAAAACAATTTCAAAAGCTTTTAAAAGTTTTCGCCTTATCAGACAATCATGTGTGTTAGTCTTGATTACAAAATGGTGAAAAATTGGTCTCAACAATTCTTTCAATTTTTTCTTCAAACGAACGTGAAGAACAAATCTGGAAGGAAAAAAACCCATCTCTGATTCATACACGTTTTATGTGTTATTACTTCTTTCCCACAACACATCGTGGAAGCGAGTTGTTTTTACCCAGACCACTTTACACGAGTATTTACAATGCAGTGAGCACTACTCATAGTTGCCGTGTTTCGTGGGCAAATTCTCAATGTATGAAAAACTGAGTGTAATATTCATCTAATGGGATTCTTACGTCTCTCCTATCATCAGTCGCTTTTTATTATACTTCAGTATTTATCAAAGCTTTAAAATACGATATGGGTGAAATTGCTTGTTTTACCTGTTCACAAGCGGTTCAAAACAGTTTTTTTATTAAGTTTTCTTGATCAGCTCGTCTATAAACATAAAATATATTCTGCCTATGTGTACATATTTACTGGCACATTTCTTCCTATAGATAAATTATAATTTCACTGCCAGAAGCACCCACTATGATTGGTTCGGAAGTCACTGGCGGTGAGCATTTGTTCTTCGCAACTGTATTTATGATTATATTTCTATCTAGTTTACCGAATTTTACCATTCTACTATGTCCATGTACTCGATCAAAATACAAATGTAACTCGTCTTGAAATAGGTCCAAAGATTCTTGTTAAACAAGATCATGAGAAAGTTCTGATTGGGCCAGAACGCATGTTAATTATTCCGTATGTAATTCTCATATCTCTATTGATTGTTTCATTTGCGTCAGTTTAATAGTTCCCGTCACTATTGTGTTATTGAAAACCCAGTTCTACGCGATAATGACGGCAAAATTGTTTCGGATACGAATGGTCAAGTTAAATTGCTCCATTCGGATATTGAAATTCGATTTGCTCAAGAGCCATTTCCACTCTATCCTGGTGAAGTGCTCAAAGAAGCTGTTCGTCCGCTTCAAGTGATCGAGCCTAATAGAGCTCTTCGTCTACGTGCTGTACTTGATTTTGTGGATGAGAACGGTCAAGAGATTCAAGTTGGTGAAGAATTTCTCTTTCAAGGACCAGGTACGATACGATACTGTTAGCCTAGAAATTAAAAACCATGCACTATTGTAACGCTGACATATAAAGCAGACTCAAGAGGATTTAAGCTTTGATTTTCATATCCATTTTTTTTCAGGAACCTATTTCCCACGCAAAGAAGTTCATATTGATAAAGAAATTCAAGCTAATATTTTGAAATCAAATGAAGCAATTCGTTTGCGTGCTAAAAAGAAAATGATTGACCGAAATGGTATTGAGCGGGAAGCAGGAGAAGAATGGCTAATTCGAATAGTTGGCTCTTATTTACCATCGGCTTACGAAGAAGTTATTTCAATAGTCAAGGCCTACGTGTTAACTGACAAAGTATATATCAATGAAATAAATGCTATTTATGGTGATTCATTATAATTGCACTTGTAGAAAGCTCTTCACGTTCGTGCTTTACGAACATTTGTCGATATATTCAAACACAAACGTCTTCACGGTGAAGAATGGTTGGTATATGCTAGTGATGCTGAAACATATATACCTGAAGTTTATGAAGAGGTTTTTCTCTTTTTATTTGTCTTCTATCACATAAAATAACATAGAAAAACAATTAATAGGTGGTTGGCATTGTTCCAGTCACTGTACTTCATTCTCTCCAATATTGTGTAATTAGTGATCCTATCGGCCCGAACGGTAAACCTCAACTAGGAAAGAAGAAACTTGTCAAAGTATGGTTATTACTATTATTGATATTATTTCATTAATATCAGCTGTTTGAACTAGGGTGAAACAACCTTTTTCCTTCAACCAGGTGAGAAGCTAGCCAACGGCATTCAAAATGTATATGTACTTGAAGAAGACGAAGGCCTTATTCTCCGATGTATCGAAGCATTTAATGAAGAGGAAGTTAGTAGACTTTTTTACTTTCTTTGAAAACTGTTTCTTAATTCTTCAGAATGTAAGACGCAATCCAGGCGATCTTTGGATGGTTCGCGGTCCCAGAGATTATATTCCGACTGTCGAAGCTGAGGTTGTACGTCAACGAAGATCTATTCCTTTGGATGTCAACGAAGGTATATATGTACGTAATGTCAAGACAGGCAAAATTCGCTCAGTAATAGGCAGTACCTATCTACTTACGGAAAATGAAGAACTCTGGGAAAAAGAATTACCAACTGAAGTCGAACAATTACTTGCACTTGATGTTCGTCATTTTAAAAATCAATCAGCAGTACCTACTTCACTTTCAAATCGAGACAAATCAAGATTGGTCACCTATCGTGTACCACATAATGCATGTGTACAAATTTATGATTATAAATTTAAAAAAGCTCGTATTATTTTCGGGCCTGAACTTGTAATGCTTGGTCCTGATGAGCAATTCACAGTTCTTAATCTATCCGGTGATAAGCCAAAGGTTCCAAATAGAATTCGTGCTATTTGTCTTTTGCTTGGACCAGAATTTTCGACCGATATAGTAACCATTGAATCGAGTGACCATGCTCGACTCTCACTTCAGTTGTCCTACAATTGGTATTTCGAAGTGAGAAATCATATTTTTTTAATCAGCGAGAAGAAAAAGTGCGCCTTCTCTTTTTAGATCGCTGATAAGAATAATAGCAAAGATGTAGCTAAACTCTTTTCAGTACCTGATTTTGTTGGAGACTTTTGCAAAACGGTTGCAGCAAAAATTCGAGGTGCTGTTGCTGGTATTTCATTTGATGATTTTCATAAAAATTCAGCCAAAATTATTCGCACGTCCGTCTTTGGCATTGATGAAAACGAACGAATTAATAATCGACTTGTATTTGCACAAAATAATCTTGTTCTCACTTCAATCGATATCCAAAATGTTAAACCGGTCGATCAAAGAACACAAGATGCTCTTCAAAAGAGTGTACAATTAGCTATTGAGGTAGATTCTTTTTCGGTAAATATTTATCTGACGGTGTCGCCATTCTACTTTAGATAACGACTAGCTCACAAGAAGCTCAAGCCAAGTAATAGAAATTGTAAGATAAAAAAAAGATCATTTTCACGTTCTTTTATAGGCATATGGCTTCGCAAATTCAGCAAGAAGCCAAAGGTCATCTGGAACGACAAAGAATCACTGACGAAGCTGAAGGTAGACGACTAATTATTGCTTTTTACTCTTCTTTATGTGTACTAATGAGAAACATAATGGTTTTCTTTTATTTACACGTTAATTGGACACGATAAGAGGAAATTTTGTGTGTATACTTCTCAGCTAAGAACATCAATATGGTATCATCCACAAATCAGTTGTGGAATTTACATAATTCTTCTACATTCTAGTAAAATGAAACCAATTATTCGACTTGAATTATATTCTAAATTGTCACTCTTCATAGACTATCAATTTCCTATGCCATGAGTCTAAAATTCTATTATGCGACTACGACTTGTCTCTATTAACTTATATAATTGAATAGACTATCAATCTATTTTTTATTGTTCTAGCTGAAAAGGAACGTCAAGAATTGTTGATGCTTCAAGCACGTTCGGCTGTTGTAGAATCAATTGGTCAATCGCACGCGGAAGCTAAGTCACGTGCAGAAGCAGTGATAATCGATAGCGACGCCATTGTCGAACAAAGTATGTTCGAAGCTGTTTTTTGTAATCTTCAATTGAAGACTAATTTTTTTTCTAATAGCTACTCTTCGAACTCAAGCAACGAAGATTGAATCTGATACTGAACTCCATCGCTTGAAGCAAACACGTGAACTAGAATTAGCACACGCTAAATTAACATCTGAACTTGAAGTTGAAACGAAGAAACGATTGACTAACATTGAAATTGCAGAATTCAAGGAGCATGTGACTGCCATTGGACGTCAAACGATTCAAGCCATTGCCACCAGCGGACCTGATAATCAAGTAGATTTTTTCCTCAAATATATTTTGTTCAATCATTCGTCTAATAATCTTCATAGGTTAAACTTCTTCAAGCTCTCGGTATCAAATCAACATTAATCACGGATGGTCACAGTCCGATCAATCTGTTCAACACAGCCGTTGATCTCGTTGGTGAATCGTCGAATTCTTATTAGCAGGCATTTTCCATGAAGACCAATTGAAAGTGGTAGTTGGTCGGAGAAGACTTAGGTTTTCAAATATACTAAACTTTTTTAGATTTCAATGTAGTCGTACATAGAAATATATACTCATTGATTTTTTTTCTCGGAAAATACTACAGTAATTGTTTCGTAATACTCATGTGTTTTTTGTCCTTACTATTTACTTTTGAGATAAACAATATAAATCAATTCCTTTTGATGATAAATTTCGAAACATATCAATAATAATTCGAATCAGACGAATCCCATAAAATGTTCAATGCAAAAATCAAAGTTTTCCTATATATTTCTAGTCAGATAATATTTACATCCGTCACATTGGTAAGGAGGTGAAGAAACTTTTTTATATAGATAATCTGTACCATGCTATTTTCAAATGTTCACTACAACTTTTCCTTATACCCTATTGGAAAGCAATGTTTCGAGAGTAGTAGATCTAGATTTGATCGTTTCTTCAATGAAAAAACAAAATTTTGACACCGAATTTTCAACTTGCCAACTTTTTAAAACTGGATAGCAAAGAATATTCTAGCTATAAACTATTAGCTATTTGGAAAAAAGCATATGTCGCCTTTCAAACACTCTAGCGATACAGGGTGCTGTATAGAAACAGTCATATACCAGTGCTTACGCTGTCATATATACTGGCTAATCACATACGAGCTTCAAAAATCAGCGTATATTACTACATAATTATCGTTCCATCAGACAGATAATCGGAGGAAAACAGCCGTTCATGACTTTTAAAGGATCACTCGATGTTTGACAGTATCCAGTTGAAAACATAGGAAGTCACGGCTTATCCAGCAGACCATGTAAATACTTATTCATAGCAACCATTCATTGTTTACTTAGCACTACTATTCTTTCAATACTGATATAACCTCTTACTCGTGATTTCTTCCATATAGAACATCCTTTTACTAGATATAATAATTGCACTCAAACTTCTGAATTAGACATGCGATGAAGATTGACATTTTAAAATTCTAAGGTTTCTCGTTGATTTTGAATATCAGTCAAAGATTCTGGATCCGTTTTCATTATTTTTCTTCTTCTTTTTTAACTTATCTAATTGCTCTGCTAATTGTTTTTGTGAGCCAACAGATACTACAGTCGTTCCGTCTGAGTTAACTAGATTACTTTCTTGATGTTGTTCGAGAAAAATCATAAAGAATCGCGTGTGTTAAGGAAGAAGAAAACCTTCATTCGTTACAAAAACATCAACAACAAAGAAAATTAATTCAAATTGATTCAAAACTTGATATCATGCAAAGCCCGATTTAATTTCAGTTTCAATTCGTGTTTCCTCAACATATCTTCATTAACACAAGTGTTTCACCGTGGGCATCGTACAGTCACATTGAAAGATCACGTAAACATATCTTAGAACACTCTATTGACCTCTCAAGAAACAAAGTCTCATCCTTTATTGAACATTCACATAACTTAACAATATTAAATACACATGCTATTCAAAGTATTTGAGCAGAATCCTAAATCTATCAATCAGTTTAAAATTGACACTTTTTTATTGGATAGAAGTCAATGAATCAATTCAAAAACTAGCTGCTCAGTACGTTTTCTCAACTTTTTTATGCTGAACCTCTTGTAAGTAATAAAAACCAAATATTATTGAATAAAGTTCGCAAAGCAAAAGTTTTCTGAGCTTTCTTCGAATTCGATCTTGAATTGAGTTTCACATAAAATTTATACTACTTTTCTAAGAGCTCATTCTTTTGATTTATTTTTGCTTCAAAAGAGAGCATGTGTAGTGGAAAGTATCTTGGCTAAAATCCTATAACACACAAATATATCTATGTCGAATCTGAAAACTTCTTTATTTCGGCTTATATTGGATTTTTCACCTATTCTAAAACTTTGAACTTGTCAATCTCTGCATTACCTTCTTGAGATATCCATCTACAAGACAATGAGTCAAGTTTAATAGTATCGACGAATGTGAAAATCATTAAAATTTTTCACATTAAATGTTTTCTGAAAGCTGATAACGAGAGAACATTAAAAATCAATTATAATAAGACGAGATTTTTGACTCTGTTACATTTTAAAAACTATTCTTGGGATATAAGATAAGTATTGTGTGACGTCGCTTAATTGAAAAGAAACAAAAATCAGAACAAATAAGCTATAAGAATGATATTTGCGCAATAAAAATGTAAAGTTCATTTCATTCTGAATTCTCAAGAGATGCTCATAATTTTATTCTCATATTATATAGCACTTCTCTTCTAGTATGTTGTACATGATTGAACGACTACAAGAAACTCAGGAATCTATTGTAGGGATCTCGTAAATTTTCACTACGAGAGACATACAGTATTATTCGAACCAATATAGATATGTCTAATTCATACATGATAATAAAGATTCCATCTGTAGGCTAAAAATATCTTCCAATGAGCTGTCATAGAAATCCTACTTTTACAGGTAAAATTACTTTAATTTGGACTTTTTCCAGAAAATTCGATTTTAGTTGAATCAACCGTTAAGTGAATAATACAGGCAGTCGCCGTCTTCATAATGAGTAGTTCATTTAAAATATATTTCGTGATTTTTATTCTTTGTTTAATATTCAAACAATCTATGAAAGGACAAGACCATAATCGAACTACATCCGTAACACAATCAGAAAAACTAATATGACATATCAGAAGCACGTTTTTCTATGAAGAAAGTAAAACAGTATGTTGTCTGTTTATGCATGTTCTTGATTATGACGACTGTTAGTAATTGTTTGCGCCTAGTTGATTACATGACGATTTGCTAAAACCGCCGAGTAGACCTTGTCCAAAGCCCATGAGATTGATAGGACTTTTACCATCGGTAACAAGCATTGATTGTATTCCTAGTGCTTGCAAAAGTTTGACTTGAGTTTCAGGACCCGATGTAGCAATACTTTGAATAGTCGAAGGACCAATTGATTCGACTTGTAATTTAAATTTTTCAGTTTCAATTTGAGACAGTTCTGTTTTTTTCTTAATTTCTAGTTCATTTTGTTCGCGTAAAAACTTGATTTCACCTTCGCGTACTAATTTCAAACGGGCCAATTCAGCTTCAGATTCAATTTTGGTCGCTTCAGCTTTGCGACGTGCTGCAATAGATCGAGAAAAAGACTAAGCTTTCTTGATGTAAATATAGAAAAGAATACCTTGGTGAACGGCTGTTTCACCTTCAATACGCTTTGATTCAGCACGACTCAAAGCTTCTGCTTTGGTTTGGCCACTTAATTCTATAGCCGCCGATAGCGCTTGTGATTCGAGTAATAGTTGTCGAATCTTTTCAGCTTCAGCTTCATTTTTAATACGTTGTCGTTCTAAGAAACCTCTAGCTTCTTGTTCACGACGTGAAGCTTCATGTTTAGCAGCGGCTTCTTGCGAATTAGTCGTTATCTAATAGAGAAATTGGTATTCTTATTTTGATAGAAACAAACTATTCAATTCCATACCTCAATGGCAAGTTGAACACTCTTGTGTAGGGCATCACGCGTACGTGGATCGACAGGTTCAACATTTTGAATATCAATCGATGTAATGATCAGATTATTTTGTGGAAAGACAATTTGATCGCGTACACACTGATTCGTATCAAGACCAAACACAGACTCACGAATGATGTGAGCGGAGTTCTTGTGGAAATCATCAAATTGAGTACCAGCTACAGCACCACGGATACGTGAAGCAATAGCTTTGCATATATCCCCGACAAAATCAGGCACCGAAAATAGTTTAGCCGCTTCTTGCTTATCATGTGTGTCTTTCACTTCAAAGTGCCAGTCTGAAAAATAAAGAATAATCAATCATGTGTGTTATTGAATGTTTTTTTTCTATGTTTTTGAATTACTGTAGGCAAGTTGAAGGGATAGACGAGCATGATCAGCTGTCTCAATATCGATGCTATCAGTGAAGAAATTTGGACCGAGTAGTAGACAAAGGGAGTTAACTTGATTAGGTTTTTTCGGTATGCCACCGCTCAGAGAAATCAGAGTAAAATGTTCATCAGGTTCTAGCATGACAAGTTCTGGACCGAAGACAATACGAGCTGTCTTCCGTTTGTAATCATAGATTTGAACGGCCGCATTATGTGGAACACGATATGTGATCAATTTCCACTTATCACGTTTAATACTATTTGATGTCGAGCTATTCGATTGACTATTTAAGGTAGTAGTCGTCAATGTACTGTTGACCGAAGTCAATCCACGCATAGCAGAATAGCGCTCGGTTAATGGATCACGCGTAAGTAAATATTCAATTTGTTCGGGTAATTCTTTGTCCCAAAGTTCTTCATCTTGTGTTAACATGTAAGTTTCACCGATGACTGCTCGAACACGGCCACTTTTGATATTACGAACATATATACCTTCATTTTCATCTAATGGTATTGCTTTTTGTCGATTGACAACTTCCACTTGAGTTGGTGGAATATATTCACTAAGAGTTCAAATTAAATAGCTACATATTCAAAATGTTCTTAAATAAAGGAAAAGTTACATACGTTGGTCCTCGAATCATCCATCGTTCACCCGGAATACGCACTTTTTTTGCATGTTCATCCTCGAACCTTTCATTACATTTGACAATAACACCTTCGTCTTCACCCAAAATAAAAACGTTTTGAATGCCTTTCAAGAGATTTTCACCGGGTTGGAGAAAGAATGATGTTTCGCCACACACCATTTTCTAAATGAAACAATTGTATCATATTTTCTTATAATTACCTCTTGATAAAATATGGCTACTATTTAAGCGGTCAGTAAAATAAATTAAATGATCAGTAAAATAGATGAAATGGTCAGTAAAATAAATGGTCAGTAAAAAGTGTATAAATGATCAGTAAAAATTGTATAAATGATCAGTAAAAAGATTAAATGGTCAGTACTTAGATTACCACTCATATAAAAAAAGATTGGAAAAAATCTTATTTTAATCGATTTTTTAAATCAAACCAGTGATTAAAATAAATTAAATTTATAAATATTAATTTTAATGGCGGCGACGGTAAAATGCGTTTTCTCAAACTTTATGTTGAAAACTCAGATGTTCGATCGCTTTTTCGGACTCCTTGCCTCGGAAAATTAGTAGATATGATGCTAGATCGACCTTTGACATAAATTCCATGCTTCAAGACTCGATATCAATTGGTACTTATTCATTTAAAAAGAAAAACTATTAGAATTGATTAAAATCGATTTAAAAATTTTAATTGATTTTAATAGATTAAAAATCGAATAATCTGACTGAAATTGAGTAAAATAGTCAATGAAAAAATTTTAATCGGTTAAAATGCATATTTATAAATTTAATTTATTTTAATCACTAGTTTGATTAAAAACCTGGTTAAAACTGTCCCATTTTAATCGATTTTTAATCACAAAAAAATCGATTAAAATCAGATTTTTTCCTATCTTTTTTTATACGAGTGATAATCTAAGTACTGTCCATTTAATCTTTTTACTGATTATTTATACATTTTTTACTGACCATTTATCTTACTGATCATTTCATATATTTTCCTGACCATTTCATTTATTTTACTGACCGCTTAATAATATCCCATAAAATATCAACCTTTCTTCCGAGTTGTGGTTTGCCATCGATAACTGGATCGAGAATGATACAATATTGCCGTGAATTGAGTGTGATTGCATCGACAACTGCAACAAGTTCTTCATATATATTAAGAATATGTGTTTCCGTATCAACATGCGTCACAAGCCATTCTTCTCCACTCAAACGTTGCTTATCAAAATCGTCAATGAAAGTTTTAAGGGCCCGAAGATGAAGAGCTTTTTTCTCAGTTAAAGCATAGGCATTTTGAACTGATACAACTGTTTCCTATAAGATTGAAATAGATAGTTAGCGAGTAACACAAAATACTAGAGAAGTTACATAAGCTAGTGGCAAATAGGCACCGGTCTTCTTAATTAGCCACTCTTCTCCCGTGACACGATGTTGACCTGATCGATCGATAAGTTCTTTTTTGGCATAAAGTCGAATGGCTTGATTGGGACCAATAATAGTTGCTTGAATTTGTTGTTCGACATTGACTTCTTTACGAGGAATATAGGTAGCTGGACCTTCGAACATCCATTCATCACCGGCTCGTCGTTGTTCCTTGTGTGAATCTTCAAAATCAAGTATAGCTTTTAATCGCAGTGCTGAATTAGCTGGAACGACTGTAAGTGCAGTCACAGGCTATAAATAAGAGTTTATATGCGTAAACAATGTTTTCAAAATTTTATACCTGGCGAAGAATTTCTCCTGGATAGAGAGGAAATGGAGTTTGATCAGGCTGTGTCAGACGAATATCGATTTCGGCATGGACTAATTTTGCTTGACCATTTTCGTCAAATTCCACTTCACCTTCCTCATTACGTATCACTGGCGATTCGACAATACAATAATGTAGCGGACTACAAAAATCAAAAATAATATTTTAGTTTTTCGTGTTACCGAATAGACACTGACGGAATGATGATCATTTTTTCTGGGCCCACCGTGACCATTTCATTATCCTGCTTAATAAAAGTCTTTGGACCTGTTTCGAGGCGCGTGATATTGGTGTTTTGATCTAACACATGTATATAATAATAAGGTGGAATCCGATACACGGGTCCTGTAGCATTGCTTTCATTGGTAGTACTTGATGAAGTAGTACTCATATCAATTTTTTCCTATATGTATATATATATATATGAGCAATAATGAACAATTATGCGTGCGTGTTGACAAATGTCTTCTTATAAAAATCGAAGAATGAAAGTAGTCAAAAGTGTAGATGGGGTTTGTGTGTCACGACAAATTTCTCCCACTATAGACAGAAGAGAAAAAACCACACCTTATTTTTCTTTCCCTTGTTGTTATTGCACAATACCCACCTTCTTTCGTCTCACAAGCTATTGAAATAAAACACAAGCTACTTTAAATGATTCATCAGTAAGAAACCCAGAATTATGAGAAAAAATTTCCAACAATAATAAAGCCATTTTAAATTCTGTGAGTAGAGAGCTGGGGTGTGGGTGTGAGTGGATGTGGTTGTGGAATGTAGGGGTGTGAATGTGAGTGTAGATGTAGGGTGTGATACATGGAAATTTGAAGGTGGTGATATGAATGCGAGGTGTTGTCGCCGAGAAGAGCTCTGGTTTCAGGTGTTTGTCGGTTCACAGGCGGAAGTGCGTACCAAGATATGGCCTACCTCCACGCCTACATTTCAATATCCTGAGCCCTACAAATACACTACTGGCCATAAGTCCCGGGATGTATAATATTCCCCCTCATCCTCGACCATTTTCCATGGAATTTTTACCAGAGATAGAGCTTAAAAAACTGTGATCGCCAGCATCGACTCGAACTCTATTGACTGAGATAGTATGGAGTTATGACTCAAACATTAGTTTCATCTCTGCTTACGTGTCAATCAATATTAACGGTTTTATAACAAACATCGAGAGACTAGAAGTCTTGTTTAATCTCCAAGTTATTTCGTAACTATTTAATGCTAGTCGACTTTTCTCTAAAAACGCCCGTATTGAACGTCTTTTTCGCAAGGAGTTGTAAAGGAAAGAATTTCATATGACTCTTGTTTTTATTTTTCTTAACTTTAAGCTACATAATATACTGTACAAGACGAAAAGTTTCCAAGTGACCCTCAATAATGCGTATAATCATCAGACAAAGCGATCACCGCTTGAAAACGACGTTTTATGCTGTTCACAAGATTGAATGCCAGCTGATAAAGCGGCTCTCTCCACTCGTTGTTTATAGCATCGATCAAATCTCTGTGTGTAGTTCGTAGTTGTTGAGCAACTGTTACCTTGAGCAGAGACCAGAAGTTTTCAATTGGATTGACATCAGGACTCCAAGATGGTCAAGGTAGAGTTACAATTTGTCGAGTAGACTTCCAATAGTTGGTGTAGTTCGATCGATGTTCGGGGTCGTTGTCTTCGAGTAAAAACCATTGAGATTGTCCGAAGTGTACGTGAGTGGAAGGAAGAAGAGCTTTTCAATAGAGTTTGTGGCAAATGAATCCACTGTTTAAGCTGTTCTGGAAATAAAACACTCGCCCAAATCCCATTGATGGCAAACAGCCCCAAACGTTAATTTTTAAGGGATATTTGACTGTTCGAACAACTTTTCTCTGATCTGGTCGCTGCCATGTGTACTTTTGTTTGGCATGGAGATGAATTGTTGTTTCGTCAGTGGCCATCACTCGACTCCAGTCGTAATTTTCCATCGATCTGGCCCATGCTAAACGCTTTGATCGATAATGTTCGCTAAGGAGGGGTTTTGATAAAGGCTTTGAGTACTTGAGGTCAGCATTCTTCAGTCGTCGTCGAACTGTACGATCACTCACATGAACTTCGCTGTTCTGGAGTTCTTGCTGGATGGTCTTGCTTGTTGCGTTAATTTCTGCAAGAGGCCATGTCGACAATCATTTGATCTTGTTCAGTAGTAGTCGTTCGCAGCGCTCCGGATTGATAACACTCGGAGAGATCTTTTGTTTCTTTCCAACGATTTAGCCAGCGAATGACGGTCTTCAGATTACATTTTCCGATCTTGGCAATCTTATGAGGACCAAGTTTTGGGCCATTCTTGTGGTTGGCGAGAAAGACAATTTCGTAGCGTTTGCGAAGAGGGAGGGGCATCAGCAAAAGAGACTTTAAATGGTGTAGATTGAGATAATTTCACTATTTTTCTTTGCTTATTTATACTTTTCCGCATAAAAGCTACTGTGTTAGATTATTGACCAATCAATAATTAGTAGAAGAAGAGAGCGCTTTGAGAAATTGCATGTATAAAATTGCATAGAATTATAAACAATAAATGTGCACTACGTATTCCTGTAACGCGAAATTAATTGATATTGGCAGACTAAGAAGCAACTTACAGATTAAATAAGACTTCTAGCCTCTCGATTTTTTTCATAAAAACCGTGAACATTGATTGACACGTAAGCAGAGATGAAACTAATGTTTGACTCATAACTTCATATCATCTTAGTCAAAAAGAGTTCGAGTCGATGTTGGCAATCACAGTTTTTTAAGCTCTATCTCTGGTAAAAATTTCATGGAAAATGGTCGAGGATGAGGGGGATGTCATACATCCCGGAACTTATAGTTAGTCTTGTACCATGCGACTAACAATGTATGAAAATACGAAGCGAGAAATTTTTGCGACAATACATGGATTGTTGCCTTGATCGATCATTTTTATTCCGATTTATTTTCGAATAAGTATATTTTTCTTTTTAAGAAATAAACGTATTTTCTCTCGGACTGATTCCATGCAGACTTCTAAAAGTGCATTTTAATCTCACTGATTGAATAACTATTTTGATTTTCATTAGCAGTTCAAAACAATTCAATGATTTGATTAACACATTAGTCTTTTTTTATACACCATATAGGTATCTGGTTTCAATTACCTCAATATTTTGGCTCTTAATTAGTGAGATGAGAGTTAGATACTTCTGTACACCTATTTTTTTATCTAATGGCAACATGAAAAATGATTCTTTTAGTATGTTGTCGCCCATAAGTAAATTTGTCAAAGGGAAATGCATGCTATGTATTTCATTCTAGCTTGTACCAAGACACATGTTCACACTAAAGTAAAAAGTACTTCAATGATTTGTTTCGTATTTGCTTTTCTAAGTTCTTAGTCATTTTGACGAGATCCGGTTGTAACATGAATATCTCTCATGACTAAGAAATCGTCAGTGGGAGGCTAGAAAACGACAAGGAAATTTATTTATTATTTGTTGTAAAAGACCATGTTGAACATGGATTAAGATAACGTTATACAACGAGAAAAATAAGCTAAACTAGCCTTCTCCAAAATTCACCTTGCAAACATTGACAGACCTGTAGATTCAATAAGGTGAAAAGTGGACTTCTGAAATCGTCGACATATTCCAATATTCTTGCTTTAGCTTTAGATCTTGCCAATAGTTTTTATTCTTGCATTTAGCATTTTGAACTTGAAATAGATTTGAAATCATCAAGTCCGAAAAATGTACATTTTCGATGGTGATGTAATCTTTTTATGCCCGTGACAGACACCTCGACATCCTGTTCCTCTGATCTTATCATAAATCGCGATAAATCGTGTTAGTGTTCTTGTATATGATTAAAGAGCTTCCAGAGTGTTTTCTAGTTGTATTTCATAAAGAGGATGTGGTTACGAAGTGTAAGTGTACTTCCCGCTGAACAGATCAACACCCATATCCATATTCTGTGACCATTGTCGATTATTCCTCTACTCAACAAAGCGCAATACATGGTTCCCAATGACACTGTTCAGTCAACTTGTTTTCTCGAACGAGCCAGATTCAGCGATCAAAACGAACAGAAAACCATATGTTGAGCATGGATTCATTGCTCCGGGCGAATTTCATATTTGATACTTTCGCAATCATTCAGTTTCAAACAATTATTGATCAATTGACCTTTTGTACTCTGCGCGAGTAAGACATGGTCTGATCTTCAAACGTGAACATTTTTTGTGAGAGAAAAACCGTCGGGCAGCGTTTTGTGGCTATCATTGACTTTTAGGATCACCATCTGTAAATTTTTTGTATAAATGGACCATTCTCTCTTCTCTAGTTAGAAACATAAGGTACTTGTTTTTTACTTCAGTGAAGAGACTTATGATTATGGTATTTCTTCTCTTCGATGAAAGTTACTACTTTCTGTTATTAAAAGATATTTATTGTTTTTATTGTGAGTTTTTGTTTTATTTTTTTGATTGTTTGTGTTTTTTTTTGTGGAAAAATTTAGACTCGTAATCGTTTTTAAAATAAAAGAAAAAGGAACCTAATATTGACACTTTTCGTTTCTGATTTTCTACAATCAGCAGCTGGGATTGGCTCACACCACGGAACTTTTCTGCTGTTTCATAAATTCTATCTGGAAAAGTTATGGTGAAACACTTTGCTCGAATAGCAATTCAAGATTCACAGACGATTTTATAACAAACAACACAATATTCCATTTATTTCACACCTAATAAGGGCAACCATTATGATCTTGCATATGATTTTCGTCCTTACCCCAGATACTTCTTAGAAAAAAATCATCTGTCATTAAATTGTACAATGCAATTCTATCAAGCGATTCTTATGAGCGAAGAAAACTATTGAGTAGAAAACTGATGGTTATAAATACAGTGCTAATATTTGTCTTATATGAAATCAGAAGACTATTTTTTCATTTCATATGGGACAGTAGCTTCGAGATTCAAGTGTAATGCACTTGTGTATACAAGTAACAAAATATAGTTTTTTATCCTAAGAACACGAAACGTAAAGAAAGACAAATGTAGAAAAATAAAGTTGGAAGACAGGTATACACAGAACGGTGAGTGCCTGTATATAAAATAAATCACTTTCATTATAAAAATATCATGCTTCATTGAGTCGCGTAAACATTCGTGAGGTGAAAAAAAACAAGCAATTTTGTCAACGAAAAATACGATGCCAATCATTTTCGAGCACACAAAACAAAACTCGCATACACAACTATTACTTAGCACGTAAGTACACTTGATTTCTAACATTATTAGACTAAGAATAAATAAAAAGTTGACAATCCAGAAAAGCTACAACACAACAAAAGTAGAAAACGAGATATTTTGTATTAAGAGAAAGCAATTTCAACAAAGTTCTCGTTAAGGATAGTCAGCAAATGTAATCGCCAATCTATATTGAAGTAGCTCTTACACGTATAATTGTCATACTACAAAACATGTCAAACAGAATGATTTTTACAATGGTTACAGCTTACTGAAAATTAAAGTGGTGGAATAGTTGAAGGTACATCTTAGAAAGCTGATATAGCATCGAGTTGAAGAATTTCTAATCGAATTTTTTACTGGTGCAGGAAAACTAAAAAAAATTGATTTGACTCTTAACGAAGTCAATCAATTATTTATAGATTTCAAGTTGCCTTTTGATCAAAGTTATTAAAAAAAACATCTGTACAGAATAAAAGAGAAGAAATGTTTTTGAGAATTTCTTCATATTATCGATGATTATTTTCGAAAGTATTCAATTATACTCTTCATATTTTGAAAAAAATCTGATAATTCTATAAGTGATTGTTACATATTTGTTATCATTTATACTAACTTCCGTTTTAAAAGAGCTTTACTTATATATATATTATGAATAGTTTTAGTTGAAACCACAAAGTTATTTCCCTGCAAATAGTTTTCACGTTCGATATTTTAGGCATTACATAACAATTAACAATCAGTAATCAATTGTCTATGAAACTCGGATAGCGAAAGTGAAGCATGAGAATAGGAACTTAAAATAATTCATAGAGACTGAATCATGATAAATAGTTCAGTCACTAAGACTATGGATTCATAATCCTGTTGTATAATTGTTCACCTATCTCACAAATTGATGATGGTTTGTTTGTCAGCAATTTTTCACATTCCAGATAAAAACTATTGCTTTTTATATTGTTGGTGAAAAAGTATCATGATATTATTTCGTTCTTTTGTTATTCTACTTGTTCGGATTGCAACCATCACTGAATCAATGCGTGGTTCGTGAAAACCACCATCTTTTTATGTTCTTCCACTCGGTACAAATGGTGGTCTTGAGGAAGATAATCTTTCAGCGTATCTACTTGCATCTGTTAATGGCTATAATCTACCATCAGCCTACATAGCTCTCGATGCTGGTACCATACGACATGAAATCAGGTAAACAAATCGTTTTGACACTTTTTAGGATGCCAAGACTACTAGACATTTTTTCGGTTTTTAGGATGGCGATCGAGCAAGAATCTTTACCAGCACATACAGATGTAAATATGTTTATTCAAGATCAAATCAAGGCCTATTTGATTTCACATGCTCATCTCGATCATACCTCTGGGTTTCTTCTGAATAATCCGAATGATAAAGCAGGGAAATTTATTATTGAACTCAATGAAACAATTCAAATCATTCAATAGAACTATTTCAATAATAAAGCTTGGATCAATTTTGGTCCCGTCGGTCTAAAAGTATGTGAGTACTGAAATCAAATACACTTATACACTTCATTTTCTTATCTAGACATATAGTTATCAAATACTTAATCCATTTTCATTCACTTTGGTTCCGATTCCTGGCACCGACTTTGATGTACGCATCTTTCGTCTTTGTCATGTTTGGCCGTATCTCAGTTCGGCATTTTTGATCTCCCGTTGGTCTCAACCTTCGGCTTCTATACTCTATGTAAGTGATACTGGTAGGCGATGTTGAAAAGGAAATATTGCCTAATAATACGACGTTTTCATCTAATTACCTCAAGCAAGTATGGCAAGCGATGGCTCCACTAATTGCTGATGGTAAACTTAAAGCTATCTTCATTGAAGTTTCATATTCGAATGGATGTTCAAGCAACCAATTATTCGGTCATCTGACGCCCGAGTGGCTTTTGAAAGAGCTCAGTGTGTTGAATGCATATCAAGACATCAATAATGTCAAAATCATCATCACACATATAAAGCCAGAGAAGAATGCACGAAAAACGATCATCAAAGAACTGAACAATGTTAATAGTCTTGACCTTCATTTTATCTTTCCCAAGCAAGGGAAAGGCATATGGTTGTAATCAACGATCGATTAGCCATTCATGACATTTTTAATGACACAACTGTAGTGTAGATTGGTAATCCCTAACTAACATGAACTAAACATTGATTTAAACAAAGCTTATTACATTACTTATTGTTCTATCTACAACAATTCAGTTAAGACAATCACTGAGAACTCAAAAGCATGTACTCAATAGACTATAGGTCTGAAAAAGAAGTATAGAAATGATAGGGCGTGAGTGAATAGAATACCCAACCCACATCTGACTTTCTGACATATTTGTACGAAAGAGAATCAATCCAGCTGATCTAATTGAACTTGATTGACAATCAGAGTTTTTTTGCACGCTTTCCAGTTATCTATCGATGAAGAAAACTATTCTGAATTCGGTTTCCAACGAGAACTCGATAAAAATATGTATTTTGATCAAGTCACAAAGAATACTGCACGAAGAGCAATGGACATCGAAAAGTTATTTTATCGATTTCTAATTGAGTCCGAGACCAATAACGATCTTCACATCATCAGAAATTTGCGTTCACTTTCAAGCATCGCTATTTCTGAGTGTGAATGTGGATTTAAGGTGTGAAAGGTAGAATGTAGGTAAAGAAAATGGTCGAATCCTTTCACATTTACACTCATACGCATTTATATAAAGCTCCTTAGCATTATTATGGTTTTTTGGTAACGTTTAGTAAGCACAGAATGATGCTTTCGTAATAGAACGATAGTTTTTTTTGGTTACTGCGGTTAATACAACGATTTTCAGTGCACGAAAACAGTGCACTGTTTTTTTTGTTTTCTTTTTTACATCTGATGTTTAAATTGAGACTTTTGCGAGTCCTCCACATCTTCACCTCTGTCAAAGACCTTAGTCACCAAGATTAAAGGCGCCGCACAACTTAGATAACAACACTTGCAAAGTTCTAGAAAATTATAGAATTTTCTTAAAAATTTAAATGACTGAAAAACATACGTATTTCATTGTTCGAAATAATGCTGTGTCCTATTTTTGGCGCATACAAACAATTACGTGATAGACATCAACAGTGATATTTTAACTTCTTACAACTGTCATATGACTAACACAAAAGCATGAACTGATTAAGGTGCCGCTTTCGAGAATAAACAATTTGAGTTTTTCTGAGTTCATTGAGATACATAATAGATCTTTAGGATCTGATGTTATTTTAACGAATATACATAACAGGGTTATTGTCCATTAAATCAATGATTATACTAATAACGAAAATTTATGAAAGCGATACTAAAAAAAGAAAGAAAATAAATACCAAACAAGTAGCATCAGTGAAACAAAACAGGAAACAAAATTTGTATTTGAAATGTCGAAATAGAAGGAATAGAGCATTTGCTGACAATCAATAATCATTGGAACAGAACTATGGTCTTTTGGGGTTTTACACTCTATTTATGTTATATTAGTATAATGAAACTAAATAAGACACGTGATTTGCACATTTCAGCAGCTGTTTTCTCTTAGTAGTTAACTATGTAATAACATATGATGATAAAAAGCTGCATATTTTATGACAAAGCTTTTTCTTTCTTACATTAACAACTAGTTACTTTATTTTGTCCTTATCAATTATTACTAGCAGTTCTTCTATGGACATGTTGTCAACAAAACATCAACGTGTGATTCTTGTCACTGGTGCTAATAAAGGCATTGGTTTTCATGTTGTAAAAAAAATTTTGAATGAATCATCATCGTATAATAATGTTATTCTTCTTGGTAGTCGAGATTTAAAACGTGGTCAAGATGCATTGGAACAACTCGGCTCTCCATCCAATGTTCATCTTCTTCAATTGGATATGTTATCAATAGAAAATATCAATGAAGCAGTTAATGAAATCAAAGAAAAATATGGCGGACAATTAGATATAGTCATCAATAATGCTGGGATTTTATTAAATGATCTCACCGTTGATGCAGCTCGAAAAACATTTGCTGTTCATTATTATGGTATCAAATTACTCAATGAACAGTTGTTTCCAATGATTAGAAAGAATGGTCGTATAATCAATGTTTCTAGTCAAGTAGGTGCTATAGCATTACAAGAATCTTCAGCAATTCTTCAAAATAAATATACATCACCAACATTGACAATAAAAGAACTTGATCAATTAGTTGAAGATTTTATTGCAGCTATTGAAACAAATACTCTTGAAGATTTAGGATATTATAATAAAACGTACAGTCCAATCTATGGTATTTCTAAAGCAGCATTAAATGCACTTACTCAAATAGAAGCACGTGAATGGTCAATTAGTAAAAACTTACTTGTTGTATCAGTGTCTCCAGGATTTTGTGCTACTGATATGACACAATATGCATCTGATGCTCGTTCTCCTGAAATAGGTGCTGATTCTATTCTGCATGCCGTCAATACTCCTCAAAATGAACTACAAAATGGTGGATTTTACCGTGATGGTAAACAGCTATCATTGATCTCCGAACCAATTCCTAGATCATAATCGTAAGATGTGTCACAACAATCAAAACAAAAAACAATTACTTAGCTATGTATCAAATTAGTTACTGTTACAAATGTCTTTAATGTAATTTTGATAAAATATAAACAAGAAGAGTTGGCGTTGTACTCTAATAAAACGGTTTTTCATTTAATAACGCCTTTTTTTTAATGCTAAGAAAGTCTGTTGACGCACTAGTTTATGGGCAGCAAAGTATTTTGAGCAATTATTAGAAACCCGTCAATATGCACCTTATCATGTGAAGGCTTTCATGCTTTATTCTTTTGTTTATGAAAAAAAGTCATATTCTAACCAGCAGCCATAGAAGAGAGCGTATGCTAAACAGATTTTACTTCACAAGCTGACATTTTTTTCAGACTTAGATGCTTTTTGGCACAGTTATTGGAAAAAAAAACAGCTATTGCTAAATTCTTTGATTCAAGTATGATAACTAAGAGTTCCTTGTCTACCCAATTAACTAAAACTATTTGATATAAATCTATAATGAAATGACAGTAAAACACAATAGAACTACAATATGAATAGATCATCATAGTCAGATGTCCACGAATATTTGGATTATTGGTATTAGCATACCATCAAATAGTATATAAAATAACGAAGAAACAAAGAACAATTTTTTATATCTCTATTTGTTGCTTATCTAATTATTTACTGTAAGAAGTGGTTACATGCGGGTTTTGTTCTGTTCTATGTGTGTTTTTGTTATCGAATTTGATAACCAAAGGGCAGCTACGGTAAACATTCTTTCTCTTACATATTATAAAACCATGTAATATTTTATGCGTTTGAAAGTGTCATTCTCTCTTTTGATTTACTCTATTGTGTTGCGTGAGTCACATTAAGAAAAAGCATCTTTTTAAAGGAAGGCATAAGGATAATAATGGATACCAAAGAACATATTTCAACTATTGTTCCGGCACAAATATCAGTAGGTGTTGTTGGCTTAGGTCTTATGGGTTGTAGTATAACTACTTGTCTTTTAATGGCTGGTCACCCAGTTGTAGCAATCGCACCACTTCCAATTGATCTTGAAACTGCTGAAGCTCGTATTCATGAACATCTTCTTCGATCATTTGAACAAGAAATTTGTTTAGAACAACCGGTCTTTTACTTGAAAAATCTGATGATTACCGAAGATTATACTCGCCTCAAAGATACTTCCTTAGTCATTGAATGCACCCTTGAAGATATCACAATTAAAAGACAGGTATATAAAAATATTGAAAATGTCGTTGCTGATCATGCGATTATAACAAGCAATACATCAGCCATTCCAATTAGCCTCCTTCAAAAAGAAGTTCGTTCACCAAATCGTTTTTTCGGTTTACATTGGGCTGAACCATCTCATACAACACGATTTTTAGAAATTATTTGTGGTGACACTAGTGATCCAAAAAAAGCTGAATGGTTATATCAACTTTCACATCATTGGGCTAAAGAGCCAACACTTGTACGAAAAGATATTCGTGGTTTTATTACTAATCGCCTCATGTATGCTTTATATCGAGAAGCTTTTTATTTAGTGGAAAATGGATATGCTTCTGTTGATGATGTTGATCGAGCGTGTCGTAATAATGCTGGTTATTGGATGACATTAGTTGGATGTTTTCGATGGATGGATCTTACTGGTATTCCAGCTTATCATGCTGTTATGAAAGATTTATTTCCGACACTTCATAATGGAACTGAAGTACCAAAGCTCATCGATGACATTGTCAAAACTGGTGGAAAAGGTATTTTGAATGCTAATGGTTTTTATAATTATACATCAGAAGAGGCTCGTTTATGGCATGAAACTTTTGAAGAATTTAGTTATGATATTCGACGATTAGCATTAAAATACCCTGTAGATATTGTTAAAAAAAAATTAGAAGCACAACGAGAAAAAAATGAACCGAAGGATTAACATGATCGTATTGCTTTATTATATAAACATTCTTTTTTCTTGCTTGCAAATCAGCATAAATCAAATCAATTTACGTCCTTCGGTCGTAATATTTTAAGTTTTCTTTCCTATTAAATAAATAATGAAAAAAGTTACACACGATTATATATATGCACTTATTCATCTCATTTTCATACTTACCCAAAGGCAATTATATATTAAATACGTATTACTAATCAATTCGTTTACTTATGTATAAAGAATATCGATATGACAAAGTTAACTTTTCAATGGACCATTCCTTTCTTGAATAAACATCCAAACAATATTTATTCTGTATATTTTTTTACTTCAACTAATATTAAGGATATCCTATTCCCCCCCCCCCCCAATCCTCCTTCCCGTCATTTTTGAGTACTTCTGGTTTTCGAAGAGAGTACAGCCGATCAGACTGAAATTATTCCTATAGATACTTACAAGTACTATCTAGAGATATAATTAACTACTTTCATTTTTGACATTCGTATTCAAAACGCATAGGCTTCTAAAAATCAAATATCCAACTTTAGCGCCAAAATTTTAAATTTTATTTTCATAAAAGAAACCTAGAAAATAAGATTTTCGATAAAGCTCAGAACTGCTTGTAAGATATAATCTTTAGTATCTCTAAAAAAATCCTCAGTTCAACTAGAAAAAATTTGATAAGGTTCTTAATCCACTAGGATGCGGCTATATGGAAAACATGATTTTTCTCAAACGTGTCTGCTTATTTAAGTGCTTTCTGTATTACAAAATTCAGACTGATCGATTGCACCTTTCCCAAAGACCAACATGGTCAAAAAAAAGACGGTGGGACGTACTCTTAATTATGATACCTTTTCATTTGTCTTCTCTCTAAAATAAAACATCTTAAATACACACATTTATTTGTCATTTATCAATACGAATCTATATTAGCACACAAATATACATAAAAAAAAAGCACGGACAACAAAAAAAAGGAGGTGCTCATCTACAATGACATGCTTCGACAATCATATTAGGTAACCGACGAATAAGATAATTATAGTCTGAACTTTTATAGAACATAGTTAAAGATGAATAACGTTCAGGTACACAACCAGCTTTTGGTAAATTAATATCATTTCTTATACCTAAACGTTGAAGAAAGTGTTGAAGAAGTGCATGATTTGTCATTAACTAAACGATAAGAAAAATATATTAAAAATCATTTTTTTTATTAGGAATAAATAAACTAACTTTAGTTTGACATGAACCTGAACATAAATTTGCCATAAAATTTTTCGGTTCAATCATCCACGAAGCGAAGCCTAAATCAGAAAAATCAATGACAAAAGGTTTTACAGAACATGTTTCAGGTTCAAGTATGGAAATTGAATCATTCCAATTGGATAAAAATGTATTTGAATCCAATGTTGATTGTTTTTCTTCAATAAAACGTCGCAATCTAAAAATGATTCATGCATAAAAAAATCTATTCCAAAGGTTTTGTTCTTGTTATTAAATAAGTAAAAAACCTGTTTCTTTTATTAACTTCTGTTTCAAATTGTTCATATGATTTAACATCTTGTTCGAAATTTTTTGGTATAAATTCTTCAAAAATATTTGTTTGTTTTGAATCATTTGAATAAACAATTAAAAATGGCGTATAAACACTAAATTTTTCTAATTCAATTATATTTCTTCGTTGATTTTTTGTTGTTACTGTTGGTTTAAATGTTATACCAAAATATTCAGATTTTTGTGATAATTTTAAATAATTAATTTGACGTTGAATAACATCTCCTATTGGAAATGATTGCCAACCATAGGCATCAGATTCTAATTGTATTTGAGCAGAAAGTGAAGAAAGTCGATGTGATGAATAGATTTCATTTAAAGAATATGATATTGGCCAACGTGTACGACGTTTATAAAAATGTAATGAAACAGCATAAATACTTTCCATACGACGAATGACATTTAAATCAAAGACATACATTGTAACATTATCGATTTCAACTAAAATTAGAATTTTCGTTTTTCAATATGCTATTTGATTTATTATTCATGAGTCGTCTTATAGATTAAGAAAAAAACTAAATATTCATTAATAACGTGAGAAAAGAGATCAGATGATTTTCTTTTCTTTTTAATATAAAAAAAAAAAATGTTTGTCTCTATAGGCTTCTAAAAGAGACAGTCATTTATCGATTAAATATGTCAGATTTGCAAAATTTTTTGTGACAGATGTCACAATGAACTCGAGTTTGATAAAGAAGATGTGATAAGATCATATTCAACTTTAATAAAAATTAATCGCTAGGATGATCTTTAACGAAGGACGCACATATAGTTGATTGCTCATATAATATTAAACAATTGATAGACTATAAAATAGATTGAAATGAAGTGTCTTTGATCGTTTTTCTTATTCGGTAAGCAAATTTCAATTGATAAAAAAGTTCAATATGTTATTCTTTCTTTCTTCTTCAATGACTATTCTTAAGATGGTACTTGACTTTGATGAGTATGTCCATTTACTTCTATGGAATACATCATTGTTTATCTATATTATTATAACATAGATTACTTCAACTAAACAAAACAAGAGTATCTGTTTTTGTTGTTTAATAGTTCAATAGGAAATTAAGAGGAAAAAGAAGAAAGATTATGCGACTATAGGTCAACGAGCAGACAACAATTGATCATTATGTTCTACGGAAAAGAAATGATCCGCCCATTCATTACGTCAAATGATAGTTAACTCTTAAAAGAAAAGTGTCTATGATTGACATAACTAAACTAGAGAAAAAAAGAATCATTCATTTAGAATCTTTTAATAACAATGCAATGCTTCCTATAACGAATTAGTTTCAATGATTGAACGTATTGTCATAGATTGCATGTTACTTTGAACTGATGATGAAAACTAACGTGTCTCGTCGTCTGGTTTATTTCACGGAGTGTATATATATATATATATATATCGATTTATTATCATACTCAAAAGAGTGTCTAAAAGCACTCAACATTTTTTTTGTTTTAATTCTAATCCAATATGACACACATTAAACTCATAAAATCATCTTACCGATACGTGGTACAAGAGCTCGTATAAGATTATAATCAGATTTTATATCATTTTGTTTTTCTTGTTCATATAATGTTCTCATATAATCAATTAGAGATGATGAACTTGAATTACTTATTGTATAATATGGATTTTTATAATGAAATGATGTTATTTTATCACCATTATATTTTAATACACTTGGTTTTGATGAAATATCAAGAAGAACAAATAAATGACAAACTTGAAAAAGAATTAAAACAATCAAATACTGAATTTTTAACATGATCATATTTTAATATCTTATAATTACATCTAAAAACAAAACAATCAATGTGTTAAAAGAAAATATTTAGCTTAAAAAAAAATAACACATCTATAATACTTGCTAATGCATTCGATTCAATCAGAAGGAAATAAAAAAAAGAAAAAAAAAAAAAAATTATATTTCATTATGAGAAAGTTGTATTTTAAGCTAAGGATCATCACAGTTTGATGACAATACTTATTCATAAGCTTCTCCATTTTTCAAAAAGATCAATCTATACTTATCAACTTACAAGGTTGAAAAATTCTTATGTCTACTATTTAAATATATGCTTTTAATCATGAAGAAAATTTTCTTTTTATTTATAAAATGGAAACCTGATCAAAACGAACAATTTAAAAATTGATCGAAAACAAATTATTCTCTTCTTGAATACCTACTTCCGTGCTTGTTCATTATACCGGCAAGACGATCAATGAATGAATGAATAAATAAATGAAGAATGCATTTTTTTTTCTTCTTTCTTTCTTCTCGCCGTCGTCCTCTTCGTTCTCTCTCTCTTCTCTCCTCCCTGTTTCGTCCTCTTTCTTCTTTTTTTTTTGAATGGGCGAACAGAATCGGTTAATAGTCTAATGGCTTTCTTTCACCATTGAATGATGGTGAACAGGCGCAATGATGAAGAAAGATGGTGGGTAGTACTATGAGTCGTGATTGATGGCACGCCTCTACTTCATTTACCTGAACGGTGGGTTGGACTCGCTCATTTTTTCTTCTTTCTTTGTCTATATTGCGTCATTTTTTTCTCTTTGATTTGATATTAATGAACAGAAAGAAAAAGTTGATATGACTGGAGACATTGGAAGGACAACGATAGTAACGCTTGTAAGTATAATTCAGGGATATCGAGATAAATGATTTCATAAGGATAGATGAAATGAAGGAAAAAATGTATTCGATGATTGTCTAAACACTAAAACACTATTGAAGAAGGATACTTTAATAATAGATGATTAGACAAGACAATATTGTAATCGAAACTCGAATTATTGACCTTCATCATGTCTGTTGAAATGACTAAAAAAACATTTTTTGATAATAAAACAATGCATGTATTTCTTATATAACACTATTGATTTAAAATTGAACTATTTTAAAAGAATCCTTCAAACTATGATAATAAAATTCAATCACAAAATAAATGATACAAAATGATATGTATCAAGGGACGTTTACGAAGCCAATCGGCATCTTGTTTCAATGATATGTATTATTCATATACAATGACTAATACACACCATGACAAGCTGACGCTATTTCAATTTATATCTTGCTTGACAAACTTGTTATATGAACGTTCAGTCGAGCGTATAATAAAAGCCGGAAAATGAGATTCTTTATTTTATTTAGTTTTGAAATTAAATGAATATAAAACATATATTAACAAAAAAAAGTAATCAAAAGTTTAGTTTAATATAAGAAGAAAGTTATATTAATGAAAAAGATTCTAAGATTTTTTTTTTGTACTCTTATTTTTATTAGCCGTAAAAATTCTTGACATGCGTTTGTTATAAAACATTAAAAAATCAAAACTTGTATGTAGATAATGCATTGAAAGGTCATTTTAAGACTGTACAAATTTCTGTTTAATAATCACACGATTATCAAAAAGGACTTTAGTTTATTTCTATAAATCTTATTTTAAAAATATTTCTGCATTACTCTTTTTGTTTAAAATATTATCTTAATCAACTAAATTTCATCAGTAGTATGAATAGTGAAATATTTTGGAATGAATATGTTACAGAACAGTTTATATATGTTACTCGATCATGCTCATTATCATTAAAATGATTCAATATATGAGTGTAAATATATTGCAAATTGTAAAAATGAAGAGTATCTCTCATAGAAAAAAAAGTCTTCATTTCGAAATTGGATGATCGAAGAAAATAATAATTATAGTTATAAATTGTTTGAACAATATACAATCCAAACTTAGTTATATACTCGTCAATTAATGCCATTTGATTCAGACAATATGGCGAAATACAAAAAAAAAACAATATAACGAATAAAAAAAAGAATAACAAAGACGTAAAATAAGCAATATACACAATGGTTCACAAATAAATTTATCTTTTTTTTGTAGTATTCTTTCTACTCTTTTAGAATTCAGTTGCTAATCGAATGTTTTTTAGCTCGAGATTGAGCTAAGAAAAGTCTAATAGATGAAAATATTCTAGCGTAACTAGAAATAAATAATAGATTCATTAAGTATGATATCTTTGTTGAAACGGTTTATTCTAATCAGAAATTAAACAAATACGATTTAAAAAAAAAAGACTATTCTTCAAAGATATTTTCATTTTCAGACGATTATTTTAGTTTTATACTAATTTTTATATCGTGCTATTCTATTACACTGTACTGTATGCCAGATTATGCAACCAAAATTTATCAATATTTTATACATATTGTTATAACCACTGATACGCTTTATCTGTGGTATATAATTGATCATAATGAAAATAAATTCAAGTGACGAAAGAATGGTATTAGTACGACACATCGCTTTGTGAAAAGATATGCAATCCTGCATTTGTACGGATTTTTTAATAATCGTAGCGCCTAAGTAATAATTCTCAGTAATGGATGTCTACTCAACCCTGTCAACATCTAGAAATGTAGCTTGAGAGTTTTACATTATCATACTATTTCGATATCGAATTATTGAATTTTTACAAAAGATCAGAAAACAGAGAAAATAATTTCATTTTGACATAAACCTCAATGTTTTACGAAATTTATTTTTTCTTCTAACTAACGATAGAATGTTTTCAAAACGAGCATACTTTTATGAAGTCATTTTTTCCCAGCTCTATGTATTGTTAAATGAATTGATTTAAAAAATGATTGGTATGTGGTCAGAAATTACATTTTTTGAGAGGAAGGTAAGTTTTTTGGAAGATCTTGTATATATAGGAAGAGTTGCTTATATTATTATATGATTCAGTCTTGCAGTATTTTCTAAATCTTTTCAGTAGTTATTTGAATGTATTATTAACAAAAAATTACTTCCAACTCGTATTGCTCATATAAAATATAATTTATAAATAGCACAAAATTACTTACAATGGAGGTGTTTGTATTGTTCGTAAGAAAAATGGGACATCTTCAAGTCAAATTAAAGCTTGCATCACCAAGCTAACGAGGTTAAAATATTAGCTGCCCTTGACGTACCTGGATGGAGATATGTGAATTTTACGGTATTTAGAGTATATGTAGGATACTCACAGTTCAAAACTTTATTAGAATTTAGTTTTCTTTTTTTTTCTGATGGTTGGATAGAGCTCGTCGAGTTACATTAGAAAACATATCTTTCAAATTTTAACAAACCAATTTTAAACAATTATTAACAAAGTGTTCAAGTTACTGTTATTTTCTAATATAAGGGACAATCGATACAATATTCCGAGCCTTCGTAAAACTGTTTTGAAATCTGTTTTTAAAATTTGAAAGATACGTTTTCTAATGCAACTCGACGAGCTCTATCCAACCATCAGAAAGAAAAAAGAAAAATAAATTCTAATAAAATTGTGAACTGAGTTTCCGACATATACTCTAAATATCGTAAAATTCATCCAGGCACGCCAAGGACAGCTAATATTTTAACCTCGTTAGTTTGGTGATGCAAGCTTTAATTTGACCTGAATATGTTCCATTCTTCTCGCGGACAATACAAACATCTCCATTGTTAGATACATATAAGTAGTACGTGAATAGATGCTTCTAATATAAGAAAAGATTTACTATGCAGATAAAAAGTGCTGAAACATTTTCCGAGTATTTTGTTAAAAATACATTCTTGAATAACATTTGTTAATAAATCACTTGATGTTTCATCAATCGTATTTCTTAGTTCATATTGGGATTTTTACATTCTTTTTTCAACATAAGATTCTATACTAGCTTACTAGCGTTAAAATAAGGATAATAACCTAACCATTAATATGACTGAATATATTATATATTTAATTAGAGAATATGCTCGATGAAGCATCGAATTGCCTATCAACAAGTATTATTCAATAATGTATTTTAAAAAACCTCAGAAAGTGTATTATCACTTTGTATCTTCGTACGAAATTTTTAGTTGTATAATAAGTATCTAATGTTGTACTATTCGTATATATGTTAGCGTTCAGTCTCAGACTCGCTTAGACCAATCACAAATCCACTCATATATCATATTGCAGCAAAATTAAATCAGGACACATGAGATTTTATTTTTAACAAAATACAATGTTTAAATATAAGCTGGTAGCACAAAGTAAAATCGACGAAGAATTTACATGTGCATATACTTTATTTCTTCACTCCATACTCGCACCCACTTATTCTCGTACTCATTTTTTTATCAAAGAAAATTATCTAAAATTAAAAATATTATAGGATCAAAGTACTCATCATATATTTTTTTCCGAATGCTTTGTTTATATTTAACTCGACTGAACAAATCTATTTTGATAGTTTTAATTAATGGCTAGTAGGCATATTTTCAATAGTTGTACTGTATATATATCTTTATTCCTTTGCTGAGAAGAGTATAGTTCATCAATTTTTATAATATCACATTATCTTTGAATGTTTGATTAATTGTGATCGTTGAACAATAATACAATTGATTTCAATGGTAAAATGTTTTGAAGAATAGATTATTAATAAAAACAAGTTTATTATAACAACATGTCGATCAAAAAAGAAGACGTTCTATCAAAAGAATATTTTTTTAATAACGAACATTGTTTCACATAAAAAAAACTGAAGAGAGAAAATTATTTCTATCAATTATTCTTTTTGTATCTTTATAAATTACAGTTCAACACACTCGTTTTCATGTCATTTTACGTAACATAAAAGTCAAACATATATACGTAATGATAATCGTCATCGTCATAGACAAGCAGAAGAAGATTTATAAATAAGAAAAATGCTAAATATTTCACATTATTCGATTA